GTTCCACACAAAAATGACGAACATCGCTGCTTTAGCAGACAACAACGATATATTTGAATCATGTAGTAAGGATCAGAAACACTCTTCTGCGGTTATTGTGAGCAAATCATAGCCACCTTTGTAAATAAATATCACATGGCTAATGATCAATCACAGATTCAGGGATCGTCCTTCATTGCATTACTTATCAAAAGATAACTTCAACATACAGACTATCTGCACCTTGAGATTAAAAAAACCGTTGAGAAGTTCTAGCAGAGCAATGATCAGTATCTCGTCTAACATACACTGCGTCTAAAGAGGGAACATCGCCAAGTGATTAAAAGTTTTCTCGGTCATACTTGGCCGATAGATACTGTATGTGATCGTAAGAAAAAGCCTAACTGGATTAGGACCCTCGCAGTCAAATATTATGGAGCAATCATTGACAAAGTAAGGCTTTGTTTTTTTAATTGTACACATGTACACAATCACATGTTGTACACACAGGTCGATCGTGGTTTCAGGTTTTCTTTACTTAAAGATTCAGCTTTGAATTTCCTCAAACACTATCGTATCCTTCATGGAGACATTAAACTGCAGCATATACTTGTCAATCGGCAATGTCAATTTAAATTAAAATTATTATTTGATATTTGTGGTTATTTTACCAATTCAGAATCGGTAACATCATCATTCAAAGGCACGAATGCCTACCTGCCGGTGAACATAACTGGATATTCTGCTATTCATTGTATGTAGTGAAATTTCATGTAGCCAGACTAAATGAAAAATAATGTTTAACTTTATGGAATCCGTTCGAATATTTGGGCATCAGGTATCAGTCTAGTAAGTAATAAAATATATAATTTCTATCATTACTGCTTTCTTTGTTTCATAGGTTGAAATAGCGAATGGAAAACGACGGTCTATACGTACATTAAGACGAGCATCTGCTAAAATATGGTTTTCGCTAAAAAGAAATCGATTTTCAGTTTTGAGATAAACGCATGATTGAGCTTTTTTATCCACGAGCTTGGCGCATCTTTTCCTATAAAAAAAAGTTAACAATTTTCCGACAAAGCGAGTGTTTCCAGAGCTCTCTGAGAAAACACGATTAGTTTCGTCATATTGAAATTTTATTATAGTTGTTATTTTGATAACTGTTTTTTACGATATATGAAACTACAACGTAATGGACAGCCGAGTGCTACAATTTTGTGTAAACAACGACAAACTTGTAAACAATATCTATAGACATCTGAATTTATCTTTCTTTTGTGCTGAATTGTATGAAAGCCTACACATGTCCAGTGCTTTTCAAGGGTTAACTCAGCTACGTTTCAGATCGACGCGTATAACATAGTATTTCTGTATGAGTATCAAAAGATCGTCAAAACCATCGTGCAAGTATTCTATTTTTTCAGTTCTTCGGTCACGGCCCAGTACTGATGCAGTACTGGTATACAGTAATGTCGCAAGTGTTGAAACTTTGACTTCAGCATTGCAGCACTAGTACAGTAATTATTTTTAGAAGCCTTGAAAATGAATAAGCATGCGTTTCGTGTCATTTTTCTTTAAATTATTGTTTATCTCATAACTAGAGGGACTTTCAGAAAAGTGAAAATAAAAATTTAACCTGGCCTGATGAAAGAGGATTTTTTGTCACAACTGGTATCGCCACATTCACTGGCGCAGTTCCTGCATATCTGTTTTCTCATAGCTAGGCTTATTATTGATCTTGGAGTGGTTTCTCAAAACTCTGAGTATAGTACTGGACCAGTACTGATATACAGTATGTCAGTAACAGTACTGGTATTCAGAAATGTCCCAAGTACTGGTGAAAAACAGCGTCAGTACTTCAGTGCTGAACTGTCAGTGGTTCTAATAGTATCGATGGATAGCCCGTCTCAAGTAGCATATATAGTGAAAAAATCGTGTCGATAACTTCTTTCGTTGCTAAGAAATTAGAGTTTTACTGAGCGCAGCGGCGCCGAAAAAGCAGTGAAACAATGGGTGCTGCACCTCTCATTCCGAGTTCAGTATCTTTTCAACGGTAGGTCCGATTGAGCTGAAACTCATAGGTTGTTCCTAAATCAATGGTTGGATGCAATTTCTTCAGGCGTCGATGATATGCATTGAAGTCGAAAATTTAAAGCGTACTCGAAGTTTTGAAGTGCGCAAGGAAAATTACTTCGTTGTGTATGAATGAGGCCGATATTAAAATAGATGTTAGCAAGAGAACCTTTCCAACAGTCAATGTCGTCTTTGCTTGTCTCTGGATTCTCGGAGACAGAGCTCGATGAAAAATCTTCGAAGCCAATTCATATTGATCAAGTGCTTCCCGAAGTTTTTGTTACTCTTGTAGAATGTTGCTCATGGCTTTGTTTACGTAGACACTCTACTATCAATGAACGACATAACGTTTCTATTTCTGCCATTGTCATTTCAGAATACTCAATCATAAAGCTTGATTTGAACACATCTAATGCTTGTTCGAAGTCATCCAATTTCACGTAAACTATTCCTATGAATCTCCAAAGGATTGTTAGCAATGCATCGGCTGGTGGCGAAACTTGAAGTTGAAAATTCAGAGAGCGCTGAAAATTCTGAAGTGCATCAGAAAACTTCTGCATCCTGAAGAATACTTTACCAATCAAGCCGTAAGTGTCAGCAAAATCCTGTGAGTTGATAGGTGAACACTTCTCCCGAATCCTAAGGGATTCTTGAAAACTGAACAAGGCTTTTTCGTTTTGTTCTTGCTGTTCGTAGAGACGTCCAATCCAGAAGTGGCCATGAGCAATCTTAACCAACGGAAATGGCCATTCTGTCAAGTCCATCTCTAGGCATTTACTGAATTGAAATGAGGCTTCAGGGTTTCCCATGCCACAGTGCACAAATCCGATCGACTTGCGCGTATCTGCATTACTTGGATCTGTCGGTGATAAAAATTCAGGTTGAATTTTGAGAGCTTCTTCAAAGTGTACCAGTGCATCGGAAAACCTTTTAAAACACCGAAAAGCTCTACCAACATTTTTGTAAGCGCGAACGAGATCAAACGAACGAAGTTGCGGGAGGTATTTGTTTATAATATTTAGCGACTCTTGTAAACTCGACAAAGCCTCGTCGTACTTTTCCTGTTTGAAGTAGTTCTGTCCGATGAGCCAATGGATGCGTTCAATATGAACGTAGTTCGTTGGTAAAGAAGTCGTTTCAATGTCGAGACACTTTCTCAAACTGACTAAGGCGTCATCATACTATTCGCAGTCTTCGTAATGCATCCCCTGCATTCGATATATGCCAGCGATGCTCTGCAATCGAGTTCTGTCGAAAGCCTCGACATCCTCTCTTGAAATACCTGTCGGTCTCTCTCTGCATCTTTCCCATATCGCCAATGCTTTATCAAACTCCTTCTGTTCCGCATAGACATCGGTGATTCGGCTCAACACCACCGCGAGGGATGGATATGTCTCTTCCATGTTTCGTATTTGGTCTTAATAGGCTTTGTTGTAAGATTCCAACGCTTCTTCTAATTCGTCTCTTCGACGATGACATTCCGCTTTTAATAAATACAATCCGGAAAATTGGTTTTATATCGACGAATATTTTTTTCTTTCAGTTTTTCGATAATTTTATTGATGCCCGATAACGCATCATCGATCTGTTTATTCGCGAAATATGCGAAGCACTTTATCACTAACATGTTCAGATCATCCGACGTGTTAAGTTCTACCTTTAATATCGTTTGCAGGAATTCAATTGACGATTCGGAGCGGGAATCATCACGTAGGCAAGAGTCTGCTAACTTAGCTAACTCGGACAGGGTGTTCGGGCGGCAGTGAATATTCTCGAATTCTGGACGCTTCTTTCGGCATGGCAAAGGCTTCATCCGACTGACCTTTGAAGAATTTTGAAGCAGCCATTATTTGGAGATAGTCGGCAATATGTGGATGCGTCGCTGGTGGGCATTTATTGAGAAGCTCGTATTCCTTGGTCGTGTATGAAGAGGCATCGGAATAGCGTCCTTGTTGAAAACAGATGTCGCCAATCAGAGAGTAAAGCATATCAAGCGATTCTTGTTGCCGCTTTGAAGTTGGGTTTGTTGCGATAGCGAGAAGTGCTTCGATATCTTCTACTGCAAGATCCCATTCACCCCGTATCACATGGAGTATAGCTTTGCGGAGACAAGCTACTTTGTTGTCTGCTGAGATAGGAGTCCTTTCATCTGAAAAATTCGATGCTGATTGTAATAGACGGGCCGCCTCTTCGTGATTTCCTATTTCGAAATATATCGATGCCAATGTGATGGATAATAGTGGTTTTAAATCCTCCCCAACTGTTTGCAGCGTTAGCTCACTGATCTCCTTAGCCTCGTCATATTTACCCCAGTAACGCATAAGAAGCGAGAAAGACAATATACCCGTATTACCAATTTGTGCTTGCATGCTATCAGTGAGGCGTGTTAGCTCTCGATCGTTCTCGTCTGTTAATAGTAATTTGATGCACCAAGCATTAGAGGTATCAGGAGGTTCAATCGATTTGATACGAAAAACACTGCCCATCGTGAAGAGAAATTCCTCCTCCTGACCCGTATTGCTTATGTCGACAAAATATGCAGGAGTGCGTATCGAGTGATCTACATCGATTTTGAAGTTCACCGAAGTCTTATCTAATCGACCAAACCGAGTATTTTCTCGGCCAGCTCTTTGTCCTTGCTCGTATAACGGACAAAGACGGCACAAAATCGATTGATGAGCGCAATTATATTCCTCCTGCGTCCTGCGGTGCTCTCGTAGGAGGTTATCCTGAAATTTTCAGATCATCTATCGCTCGGAGGCAAAATTTGATTATTTCGTAATGACTATCATTCTCTGATCTAAAATCAATACGTTTACTAAAGAACTATAGGTATGTACTTTCGGCGCCGACAAAATTCTACACGTTAAATTGAACTATAGTGATGTAGATTTGAGCAAAACGGAGTAATTCTAGCAAGGGGAAAAGCACGGAATCCTGGAATCCCACGGAATCTCACGGAATCCGATAGAATCTCATGGAATCTCACAGAATCCAATGAAATCCAAAGAAATCTAACGGAATCCAATGGAATCTAGCGGAACCATATAGAATCTTGAAGTACAAACTGATCTCTTTCGATATATATTTTAGGTTAAGATCAGTAAACATACAAGAAAATAGGATATAATTCATAAATGTCAAAACAAAAACAAAAAAGGTTTGAATCTAAATATTTTTTAGAAAATGTCAGTAATGGAAGGAGGATTGACGGTAAGGTCACTCCTACTTAGACATAATATCACGTATTTGAAAACAGTAAAAGAAAAAAATATTGAGCATAAATTCATAAATAAAAAGTTGATCACTTGCATATAAATATCACGGCAGTATTAGGGGTGTCACTTTACTGTTACCTTCCTAAGTAATAAGTAATAATAGTTATTACTTATTACTAGACGATAAAGTAATAATAGTATTTCTTGTTACTAAGTGATAAAATAATAATATTATTACTTATTCATGGTAATAAAGTAATAATATTTGATTAACTTATTATCCCATGAGGAGG